GACATACTGTCTCATTTCTGAGTTTTCGCGCTCTTTCTTTAACCCGTCGGCCAATCGGGTTAGTTGGATGCTATCCCTAATTCTTGCACCTATGCTGTGGAAGATCTGTGCACCACATTAAGTTCCACTTACCTCTACTGGTCATGCAACTATGATTGGAAGATCTAGTGACATCCACGTTACCGCAGTCTCAGAATACCCCAAACACTCTGATCGCGTCGCTTCAGGGTATATGCATTTGCGAAACCTTTCTCAAGGCCCATAATTCGCTCCTACAACAGCCTGCTATTGCCTCCATTGGTCTTTTCAGAACATACTCAAGCAGAGAAAGGACGATACAATCCATCATATTGATCCTATATACAACAAGTACCGTACTAGACCCCCCAAAGCCCATCGCATCATAACCATCACCATGCCCCCGAACACAGAAGCGCCCAATACTTTATACACCAAGCACTTTTCTTCCTTTCTGCACCCACGGAAAATTCAACTACACCCCGCCCTCCTCTTCTCAATATAACTCGTAATCGGCCCATCGCCACACCGCGCATGTCTCACCAACTCCTCCTTAAGCGAGATGAGCCCATCCCGCAAACTCTGCACCTGGTACTGCAGCTCGCGTTTCGCAAGGGCTAGGTCCTCGAAGCGGGATTGCAGTTGCTGGATGTACTGCTTTTTCTTGGAACGGCATTTTGTGGCTGCCACGCGGTTCTTGTGCAGGTAGCGTTGCCGTTTGATGGTGTCTGTTCGGGGGTCGTTACCGAGCGGGGATGTTGGTTTCGGGGCTGGTGCTGTGACAGCTTGGGGGTTTATATGCTGGGTATCTGTGCTGGGGTGCAGGGTTGCCCCTGTCCAGGGCAACGGGGCTTGGTCGAGGTAGACAGGTTGAGGGGGGAGGTAGGCGTAGGTGTAGAGCTCAGCGGGAGCTGTATAGGTGTACGCATCGGCGAGGTTCTTCGATGCATCTGGGGAAAATTGGGAGAATTGGTTGGCATAGGGGTACTGTGTGTCGTAGGCGGATTGATCTGAGGAGAAAGATTCCGCTGGGGTTGTGGTCAAGTAAGTGCCTGTTGAAGACGGATAGTATGGTGGTAAGAAAGAGTTGTAGTAATCCCGGCTATAGCTGGGAGGGGGGTATGACTCTGGCAGTTGAGAGCACATATTAGGTATATCACAACGAGAGTGGAGAGGATAATTGAAAAGAGTGAGGAGTAACCCAGTCTGCCTAAGGACTTAGGAGCTATGATATATGCTTGCCACTTCATAAGCTACACAGAGGACAGTACGCACAGGACTGACATCTGCGCGGCAGGATTACGTTTGAGTTTTTCTTTGTGCCTAACTCAAACGCCTGGTCCTTGGACGTACTTGAGATACTTTTGCGAGTCATTGGTGGGTGTGATTCAGCTCGAGTCCAAGATAGGGACGGGTATAGTCAACGGCGTGAAGCGGAGATGACTGGCTCTTAGCAACAGATACGAATCGAAACTCTCTCCCCGCATCGTTTCTGACCCTGATAATCATCAATGATATAAGACTTGTACTAAACGGCCCAAACCTAATGCAGTCGAGGTTTCCTATCCCAGCAGATACCCTTGCCTTTTCCCGTCATCCTTCTGATGATATGGACAGAACGGGCGGGCTGATTAGGCCTGCACGTTAACTGTGGGGGATCTCTGTGACAGACCATTAGAAGCATTCTACTCCCTCTGGTAGCTAGAACTGCCGATCCCAGGCTTTGGAGTCTGATTTGTGTCCCAGGTTCCCTGGTTGGTAATTACTTTTAGGAGGTTGGTTAAACGATGCGAGCATAGTGGAGATGATCTTCGTTATTGTTCAATGGGGCAGAGAGTAGCTTGCATGGTGGCGTTCGATTTGAAACGGACTATCTCCGGCATAGCCGATCGTTCTCCCTCGCATTGAATACTGTTGGCCATTGAGGCATGCATTCATTTCAAGAAGACCTATAGAGCTGCACGCGTCGGACAAAGGTCAACGATTATCTACTCGACCTAGGTCAAAGCAAACCGATGCTCAAAGCTCATCCTGCATATTGACATACCGTGTTTTAGAGGTCATTTACTGATATTGATTCTCGTTGGTGTCAAGGTCAGACACGGGCCAGCTCGAGTGACTGCGGGGTTGCCAAGGAAGAACCACCATCAGGCCGTTAGACCCTCGAATGAAATAATTGAGAAGATCCAAATAAAATGAATTGGGATACGAATGGTTCGGATGCCTTCCCCGACGGTTGAGTTGATCATCACTAGTAAGACATACCCAAGCTGGAAGTCAGAAGATGATAAGCTGATACTCGACGAGAATGAGGGGTAACACGATTCAACAACAACAACCCCGTCACGAAACTGGCTCAATCAAGGGGATCATCGGTAGCTCGATGGGATGCTTTTTCCGAGTCTACCAGATATCTCGCTGATGTTGATTGGATAAAAGGTTCCTTTTGGCTCGGATGATGACGCGGACATTGGATATAGTGAGCGTTTGGAGCTGTAATTTCCAGTTTCGCTGCTTTGAGGATGGTCTCTGATAGCCCTCGACGGCTACAGTCGGCCAGTATGAACTGAATCGTCATGTTTGGTAATCTTCAGCCCATTCTGTGTTCTGAGTAGATGTTCAAGAAACTCGATTTCTATGGGATCTTGCTCCACGAGATGACCCTTCGTACTATTGAAGCTTATTAGCATGAATATGCAACGCTCAACGGGGATCACGTCAGCATTATTTATCTCAGGACTGCACCATGGAATAAAGTGCATGCGAAGTACCTACAGAATAGTTTCTTGGGGTTTCGGAAGGATTTCGGCCGTTCGTATTTGGCTGATCTCGTCCCCAGCTGTCTCCTATTGGCGGGTGGTAACTCGCGGAATTTTATCAAAGGTTCCGCAAACTCAATCCATGTCAACAAAACCGGAGAGGTTGGCAGTATTGGCAGTGCTCGAAAGTTAAAGTGAAGCAGCGCACAGGGCGCAAACCGGTTCTGTGGATTGACGATGAGGCTCGTGTTGACTAACGGGGACGCCTCGATACCTTCCGCATTTGTCCAACGTCCCACACATCAAGCATTTGGCTCTGGGCCCATTGATGGACACGGCTTACTATCCTTGGACTACCAGGCGTCATTCAACTGCACGGACATGACTCGTCCCCAGTCATAGCCAGATTGTCCATCCTTTGCAGGGAGGTACCTCTGCATTATATGGCTAAATCGACGTCCCTTGATGAACCTTGACTTTTAAGATGTCATCATTGTGGTGTATATAGACTGGCTCTGTATATGTCTCCTGGTCGTGCTTTCTTCTCAATGATAGAAAGGGCAGCAACCTTTGCTATGAGTTATTGAAGACCCTCGTCAGATATACTGTATGCTCCTTTATGGTAAGATCAACAGCCGTATCAAGATGGGTTTGAAGATGCCACATCTGGGCAGTTACATAGCGCATGTATTTGAGAGTGTACAGAACCTTGAGCTGGATAATTTGTCAATGCAATCTTAGTGAAAGCAGATGGATGTACGAGTGTGCTTCTGAGGATCTTCTAAGATGGATTTTCAACGCAAGGTGTGAGACAGGAGGAGAAATGACTTAAAAGAAGGGAAGGAGACCTCTATTTCTCACCTCATTTAGCTGATGTAGTTAATAAATATAAGTGGCCGCTTATTTCTTCTCAGTTCTCTCAGGGTCAATATCCTAATGGCGTGAGGTTCAGCAATGTGATTCATGGATCGAACGCGAGTCAGGTATGGACCACATCGCTCTTAACGATTGACTAACTTGGATACACCCTGTAAGTCCTCAATGAAACTAACCCCTTCTTACGGCGCTAAATCATTATCCCCTGATACAGCAGATGCGATGTCCTCCAACCGTCAGTATCGCTAAGCGCCGACATGCCAGGGTCCAGCAAGTCCATACCAAGAGTTCGCTGGCGCTTAGCCTTCCTAAAATAACCATAAGACGAAATGACTTAAAGAGCCTCTCGACGCATCTCCCAGACACTCACCCCAATGCTGTCCTAAGCAGCACAATGTCTCTCTTAGCAATATCTCTCATCACGCTCCTCACCCTCACACCAGTCACAGCAACATGCTACTGGCCCAACGGCGACACAGACAACAACTACACCCCCTGCCCCAACAGCAAATCCTGCTGTCTCAAGGGCGAAGCCTGCCTCTCCAACGGACTCTGCTACGGTGCAACCCTCAACATCGCCTATCGCGGTGCCTGTGCCGATAAATCCTGGCCGGCCCAGGAATGTCCCCACGTTTGTCTCGATTGTATGGTCCCCCGTTCTCCCTTCTGCCTTGCGTCTGCCCTTGACTAACTCAAATGCAGCAATACCCGACCACTGGGCGAATCTCTACTCGTGCCCCAATTCCTCGACGAATGTGTTCACGTGCGGGTATGCGGGGTGGGCGACGGACGTCTGCAGTGCGAATCTGGGGCAGTGGCAGTGGGTGAGTGGGGATGTGGAGGTTGCGAAGAACGGGAACGGGAGTTTGAGCCCGTCAGCGTCTGTTTCCATGGTTCGGGACATTGTCACGACTACGTCGTCGGTTTCTGGTTCGTCTACGGGGAAGCCGAGGGGGACGATTACGGGGAATATCATCACGACTACTGGGTCTACGACTGCTACTGCATCCACAGGGACAGAGACGAGTACTCCGAAAGATTCGGCGGATAGCTCTATTTCTGCGATGACACTTGGCGCGGGATTAGGGGTGGGACTAGGCGTCCCACTCCTCGTCGTGTCGGGGTTACTGATCTTTTTTATCCGGATGCGAAGGCGAGCGCCGGCAGCGCCAGCACCGCCGGTCAATGAAAAGGTCTACCCCGGCGCTGTGTACTATACAGACCCGGCGGAGATTGCCACGCAGAGACACAATATGGCTACGGAGCTGGAAGGGTCGAGGCATGATCGACCGGAGTTATATGGGTAGTTAGTTGACGCTATGCTTGTATCGCAATGTACATTCCTGCTCAAACCTGCCACCACACCGGCGTGGACCATAAGTCCATCGTACTAGCCTGCCCCTGCACATCGGTCCACGCCGTATGCCCCGCCCAACTGATATAATCCCAAACATCCTGACTCGACACGCCTAGTTCATTCCCCGTGTACGCCACCGGGACGGTCTGCGGGACCTGGATTCCCGACCGCAAATCAACCGGATACACACTCTCCCCCGCCGCAGGGGACGTTCCATCCGACGAGGCCCCCGACACCGACACGGCCATCGCCCCCAACCGCGCCATCGACGCTCGAAAAATCCTCTCAATGAGATCCAGACTCGGCCGCGCAGTCGAATGCCACGCCTCGACGCGCGCAATCGCCGCCATGGCGACCTCAACCTGCTCCTTGCACGACTCCACCATCGCCATGTCCGCATCCCCCTCGGCCTCCGTGGCAAGAATACTCAACGTCAACAGCGGCACCAGGCTCGCCTGGAACCCATGCCAGATGACCCCCCACGCAGCCGCAGGACTCTTCACCTCCGCCTCGGCAATATCGACGATTGCCTCGTGCGCGAGCCGCTGGCACTTTTCAATTGCGAGACGCTCTTCAGTATGGAGCGTGATGGTGGGGACGCGGTGGAGGGCATAGTGTAGCAGGACGTGGCGGTAGAGGAGGATGCGCAGATTATGAAGACTCCAGCGCATGCGGGTGCGGGCCGTGTGGATCGAGTCCGGGCAGGGCTCGTATGTTTTCAGGAGCGGTGGGAGCTGCGCGTACCAGTCCGTCAATTCGGCATCGAGATCTTGGAGTTGCTGGTAAGAAGGGAGAGGAAATGCGGCGAGGGCTTCTTGTGCGCGGGTGGCGATCTGGCAGTAGCGGATGTTTTCGATGAGGATGAGGGAGCTCGATGTGTTCTGCTTAGTGTTAGTTGTTGAGTGAAAGATGGCAGGAAAAGGGGACGTACAACTGGCGGCTTGGTCGAGACTGCCATCGAGGAGCGGCCTAGCGTTGGCCGTCCGAGGGTCATGCAACCCCATGTATCGAGGCAGTATAGAGACCACCAGATCCGCCGGCGCAGATCGGAGGGAACCGACGATGACTGGAGCGGCCTGCTCTCGCTCTCGTCTGTGTCTGCGATCTCCTTGTGCAGACCCAGGGCGGTGGCCATCCGCATCGCGGCCGCGATGAGCGCATACGCCAGGTTCGGCTGGCTGATGTAGTGCAGGTAGTGGCCGGCCATGATGCCGAGGGTCTGGACGGTCTCGATGTGTGCACTGCCGAGGGATTCGAGGGAGAGGTATTGGCGTGCGCGCTTGCAGTAGGCGATGTGCGTGGTGTCGTCGCTGGGGTAGAGGGAGATGCTGCCTGCGGCGAGGACCATGTTCATGAGGGCGAGCCAGTGCTCGTCGCGCCGGGTGTTGGATATGTAGGTCTGTCGGAAATCGGACTCGTCAAGGAGAGGCATGGAGGGATGGAGGAAGTTGAAGTAGGCATCGATGAGTTGGTCGCTGGCGTGGGGTTGGGTTGATGGGGGTATGGGAACGGGCGGTTTCCGTCTAGGCTCGTTCCTCGATGGAGTTGTAGTGGACTGTCGAGCCATTGATTCCGGATTGATCCATCTGATCACCTTGAGGACGGCATTGATAGAGGAGATGCCCAGGTAGGTCGACGGCGGACGCGTCGCCATGGAGAGCGCGTTGACATCATCCGATACCTCGTCGTCTTCATTGACAGCATTAACCTCGCCACTCTCAGCATTTCCCATTGACATCGCCTCCAAAGACGATCGCGAGTGATGCTCATCGGGACTCTTTGGTGGCTGCGGAGGGGGTAGATCAGAGGCAAGTATGCTATGTCGTAACAATTCCAGCAGCTCCTCACGCGTCAGATCTACGATCGACTGCAAGGAGACCGAAGGAAACAATCTCTCCAGAACAGCTCGGTACTGACTATCTGCATTGCAACCGTCGTCTCCGGTCCTGCTGTGGGGCACTCTGGGATCCGAATAGCGGCACAGCTCGGGCTTCTTGTAGTACAGACACGGCTCACAAGGATGCGTCCCTGTGCAGCGGATCTTGCGTCGGCGGCATTCCTTGCAGGCTCGTAATCCTGGTCGTCGTCCACGGCGTTCTTCTCGAGTCGCTGGGCGTGGGTTATGGCGGAGTTCGAAGGTGTGGAACATTTTTAATGAATGTCTTCATAAAAGCAAGTCGAGTAATCATTAATGCATTCTTTATTGAGCATGTTTGAAGTCATAAGTTGAGTAGAGTATCGAGTTTACTGACTGTGTGGTGATCGTGTCGGGGTGTCCAGATGCCCACCTCCCTACTCCTGTTCTTGCATAATCAATCATAATAGCGATAATAAGACTTTGAGGAAAATAAAATGGCCACAGTGTTTGCCCCGGATTTACCCCGCACAGTATTACTACTCTAAAAACCAGACATGAGTGTGACTGTCCGGTGTGATGGGGATGTGTGATCAGATCCTGGACGCTAGGATAGCGCATGCCCTTCTGAACGCATCACACCGCACTAACTAGCCACTAGCAAAAACAGGAAAATGGAGGAGTTATATTTCAGGCGTCAGACTTTGGGCTGTCGAGTACGGAGTAGTCCTAGTCCATCATTATGTCTCGGTTCTTGACAACCTGGCCTTAGTGTGTTTCAGATAAGGAGTTCCCGGCTAATGTTGTCAAAAGCCGATAATCTACTTCACATATGGATAGGAAAATGGCCACAGAATTAATTTCAGGGTCCAGGGCTCTCAACTTGTAGAAATACAATCTGTATCAAACATGTTCATTTCGACAGAGGTATCACAAAACTCACAGGAGCTGGACCCATCCGCTAGTCCACATCCCCGCTTACTTTGCAATAAGAAGCGACACATTTGATACAATCTGAATTCTTCTGTTCCACCATCTCGAACCTTCGAAGGCTCTTACAGAACGAATTCTACCAACTGACGATGGCCAAGTGGACTAGCGTGGAGTCTCAATGCAGAAAGAACTACCTCGTATCAAGTAACGGGATTCTTGCCTTACCTTATGCGGATGCTCGTTAGCTTTAAAACCCGATTCTTGATCTACTGTCGAAAGATCCCCCAAGTCCGAGCTCTCGAAGCCCACTGGGAATTAAGCTCATCGGATCGTCGGGTCGAAAGCCCGTGTACGCTGCAGTCTACAATCTATAAGCGCTGAGGATGACAACATCATTTTATTATGAATCTGACTGAATATGTGGCACTCAATCAGCCACTACTGAGGAATTATTATGCTCTCCCGCCGTAGCACAGTGTTCTCCCACACAGTGGCACAATGGATATCACAGCTGCGTTAAGAGAATATCAATCATGAGAACATCACATGATGCTCTCGGCTATTCTTACTTCTTCACTTCATCTGTGGTCTTTAGTTCTCCTGGTGACGGTCTAACCGCAAACACCAAAATGGGATGCCAGGTAGATACAAGCGATCCCTCCCATACCAATCACAAAACCGACAATCAAGCCCCCGCCACCAGAAGATGAAGGCATGCGTGAGGCCCGAAACCTCGTCCACTCCCTCGTCCACTCCCCCTCCAGAGAAGGCTTCGTCACTCTGTGCCGAGACAGCCTCCTACGCAATTTCGGCTTGTTTGGGAAAGTAGTTGATTGCAAAGTCTTGATTCCAGAACAGGTATCGAGCGCGGTCAGACTGTTTATGCTGAAAGAGATGCTTTCCAATCAGAAAGACTACTTGTGCGTGGATAGGGAATGTCCCCAAGGAGAAGCTATGTACCCGGATTTGTGGATTATCCCAGAGGAACTTACGAAGGGCCATGTATGATGTGAGGTTGACTTGGAGTCTCCTATCCTATTCTTAGATTAACCATCTACATACAATATAAGGTCTTCGAAATGAGCTATTATGCAGCAAAAAAGAAAAATCTTCCATCGAAGACTCATCGCAGGCACACCGATGACAGCCCATGTAGCGACGACAAGTCCCTGAGGTCGTGCACTGTTTCCCGCCAATATGACTGGCTACTCTCCAGCGCTTCAGTTACGAGATTCAAGCCGATCAGGGTAAACCTGGCCGCTCCGCAGCCACTGATTGAAATCTGATTTAAATGAGGAGAGATCCGTGCAGACTAACGATTCCGAATCAGTCTATTTCTTGCAATTCTTGCCCTCCCCGCTCTGCTGAGATACTTCTAAAAGCCATGAGAAGGGGATGGTCTCCAAGGAATAGCCTTGCAGTAGATCGTATCGGCACATGAGGTGTCTTGACGCGCTCTTCATAGGGCTGCTGAGCAATTAACGCAGCTACTGTATGTTCTGTTGCAGTCTCCGGATGTTGTGACCCTTCTATTTGACTGCCCGCCGTCGGGGTTCTTTCGCTTGCTAATGAATCATGGATGCCCTTCCAGTCACTGAGAGAGCGAGAGGAGGATATGGCAACAGGGTGATTAGGCCCCAATGTTTTGTTGCAAAGCTCAGAGCATTGTTCCATTAGGGCCAAGGCGTCTTGCAGCTTTTCTTGGGATTTCCAGGTATAGGCCAGTTTGTGCATGCTTATGAGAGTATCAGGATGTTGAGCTCCTAGGGCAATCTTCCTCATCTCCATTACTTGCAGCTCAAGCTTCTCAGCTTCATTCCATCGTCCCTGATTTGAATAGAATGCCGCCAGGTTTGACATGTTGGTAAGAGTATCAGGATGTTCAGCCCCTAGCACGGTCTTTGCTGTCTCCAGTACTTGCGCGCATAGCTTCTCAGCTTCATTCCATTGTCCCTGATATGCATAGACTGATGCCAGGTTTGACATGCTGGTAAGAGTATCAGGATGTTCAGCCCCTAGCATAGTCTTCTCTGTCTCTAGTACTTGCACCCCTAGCTTCTCAGCTTCATTCCATCGTCCCTGGTCTGCATAGACTGATGCCAGGTTTGACATGCTGGTAAGGGTATCAGGATGTCGAGCTCCTAGGCCAGTCTTCCTCATCTCCATTACTTGCACCCCTAGCTTCTCAGCTTCATTCCATCGTCCCTGCTTCCAATAGACTGATGCCAGGTTTGAAATGCTGGTAAGAGTATGAGGATGTTGAGCTCCTAGGATAGTCTTCCCCATCTCTATTACTTGCACCCCTAGCTTCTCAGCTTCATTCCATCGTCCCTGGTCTGCATAAACTGATGCCAGGTTTGACATGCTGATAAGAGTATCAGGATGTTTAGCCCCTACGACAGTCTTCCTCATCCCTAATACTTGCACCCCTAGCCTCTCAGCTTCCTTTAACCGTCCCTGCTTCCTGTAGGTTACTATCAGCCGTGCCATACTGTATAAAGCAGAGGGATGATTGGGCTCGGTTTCCTCCTGTTTGATTCTTAGTAGCTCAGTGTATAGCACCTCTGCGTCATGAAATTTTCCATCTTCGTAAAGGCAATTGGCAATATTCTCAATCAAATCAAGGTGCTCTTTCCACTGTGCTGTGAATTCGTCTTCATACACAAGGGATAAGGCATGTGGGAGGTATTCTCGCCAGAGTCCTCGATTTGTATAGTGATCATCTGGGAACACATTGCGCATCTGATCAGCGGCCTTTTGGATCCAGTGACTAAACAGTGCATTCTGCCGTAGCCAGTTCCTCATGGCAATATGCACTAGTCTGTGTAGGTTTATCCCTGTATCTTGGCTGTTGATAAATGCATATGCGTTCAGAAGTCCCAAAGCGTCGATTCCGCGTTTCCTAGATGCTGGCATTGGAAGAAGGGACCGAGGGATGTTGCGCGGATTAATACAGGCCATGAAAGATAGAAAGTCAGCTGCCACTTGATCCTGGCATTGGATCTGTTTGAATGAAATCAACCAGGTGGTGATTACTGGGTTCTGGAGGTCCTTATAGCGTCCTTCATCTTTAAAGTCCTCGCTCAGGAGCTCCACTACCTCTGGTTCCTGTTCTTGCAGAAGCGCAGAGTAGGTGGTCAGGTCCAGGCCATTTTTATTAATGTATGCCGATGCTTGCGTGATCGCTAAGGGCAGAAACGACAGTTTCTCCAGAATGGCAACTGCTGTGGGATGATCCTGAAGCAGACCCTTGTCTACCAGTGACCTTTCGAGAATTTTTAATGCAGTGCCCTCATCCACATCTGGAATAGGAATGATATTGGAGGATGTTAGCTCCACGGCCAGTTTCCGGTTCCTTGTGGTGAAGAGAATGCGGCCTTGTTCACTCCGAGGGAGAAAGTCCTCAAGAGCTGGGCCTGCGCGATCATCTGACAGCCACATGTCCACGTCATCAGCATTGTCAAAAATCAGAAGCCACTTCCCAGCCTGCTCGGAGCTGAGGTATCTTTTGACTTGCTCTTTGACTTCTGCTGGCTTCACATTGGGAAGTCCAAGAGCTTGCGCCATATTTAGGTATGTCTGCTCAATCACCTCATAGCTAGTGCATGCGACCCAGAATATCGAGCACTCCTTATCTCGATCCCGTATGCGGTATGCTAGCTCCAGAGCCACTTGCGTTTTCCCAACACCTCCTAAACCTGTAACTGCAACCTTTCTGGGACGGTCTTTCATGGTAATTAGCTCTTCCAGTTTGGTGATTTCCTTCTGACGACCAACGAATCGCGGATTTCTTCCCAGTGGGACTATGTAGTGACCAGTTCTGCTGTTGTTCTTTGTCAAGCCCTGATTCATGCGAGAGACGGTCATAGCCGACAACAACCATTTCGCATAGGCAGCTGCTGCCAAAGCCGCATATCCCTGCCACTCTTTCTGTTTATGAGAGTCGCAGTAGTCGCATATCCCCCGGACCACCAACGTCGGAAGCCCATCCATAAGGCCTGCTGCTTCCATCTCGAAACAGAGTATGCCATGCTGTTGAGCAAGACGGTCGCGAATTTCAGAGTCCTTTATCACTTGGTCACCAGATGCGATCAACCCATAGTGGATATGAAGCGTGTTGGTTGTACGCGGCGGCCGGCAGACTAATTGCCCTTTGTCGCACTTTTCACAGTTGCTTTTTGGGTCGGCATGGCGATACGAGGACCGAAATAGATAATCAGACTGCTGATTCGGGGGGGAAAATCGGTCTTTCATGTCAGGATTTCGATTCAGTACATCCTGCACTATTGTCGAAATCGCATCCTCTCTTCTAATCATCTGCCGCGACTCAAGATGAGCCACATGTGTCAGAAGAGTCTGTGGTGGTTTGTTTAACGTGCCTGTCCGCTCGAATTGTCCGCCTTGAACTGCCTTGCCGTAATCATACTGGATCACTCCGCTGTATCTTCCGACTGGCTTGCTGACGACCACATCACCCAGCCGGATGTCATTGCTGGTACTAGGTACGCCGCCTCCGATTCCCACCATCAGGCCAAACTGGACCCGTGGGAAGGTCGAGACCATATGAGCCATGACCGTGGAAGCAGATATGGTTCCATATATGCCATCTGGTAGACAGGCAATCACTATATAATTGCCGTTCAATTCACCAAGGACGTATGCGTTCGGATCAGTAGAAGGTTTAGGCAGGGGTTTATGGGTCTTGTCCAGCATGACGCTTGCCGCTGCCATCTCCAACGGTAGGGCGCATATCCACGCGACCGAGTAGTCATCGTGCGTTAAGGCCATCGTTTCGAAAAGAGAAGCATCACATCATTAGCCAAACCAAGCTGCTCAGAAAATTGATGAGCCCAAAAGCGAAGTAATTCTAACTGCGCACTGGGGAAAGTCAAGAAAAAGTTGGAAGAGAGGAGGGGTTATCAGCTGTGTGTTCTGACAAGGCTGACTGTCGAGCACCTGCCTATTGGTTGATACTTTGTCATTGAGGCACATACCCATCACCAGCCACTCAGAAACCATTGGATAATTCATCGTAAGCAGTGATTTCTAGCCTCTGAATATCAACCCAGCCCCTAGCGCGTTCCTTCTTCCTTTTGCCGACTTGTGAGCCGATCTATGGTTACCAGATTTGCATGATAATTATAGGTATAGTACTAGGTACAGATGAAGGTCTCTCTTCCTAATCTATCATTGTAGCCATAAGGATGCTCTGCAAACTTGCAGTGGCCACACTCGGGATCCGAGCATGTATGTTTATCTCCAAAGGTGTATGTGTCTAATAAGATATGCTGCTGCTATCCACAACCTTGAAACCTATGACAAACTCCTGTCCTACAGGGAGGCCCATTTGGCCAGTAAAATGAGGAGTCAATTTCATCCTCAGTAAAAGGGCATGAGATTGGGCATTCGCACAACTCCATAGTTCTTGATCTTTCTAATTGAGCCACCCAGAGTCTCCCTCTCAGTACGTTCTTCGTCACTCAATTCTGTTATTTTCGAAAATACCAGTCCCTGTCGATTCAATGCATATATCGTCAGTAAAATATAATATACTGCCAAGGTACTTTTCGGAAGCATCTCCGAGGAACAGGAAAGCGACTGTTGTTTCACCTACAAGATCGTGTTTCCAGTCTGTAAGCGCTCGGCTCAGCAGATTTCGCCCATCATATGCAGGATCCCCTTCAGAGGGAATATAATCTGTGATATTCCAGTCGCTACTGGGCATGCTGACAGAATCATCAGCTTCACGAGCCGCATCAATTATGTCTATAGAAAGTGGTATGTAAGTCAGTAGGGTGGATGATTTAATATGGAAATGGGAAACTCTTCGCTGATATTCGAGATACTTTTGATAGAAATAAAAGTGGGATAGACTCACCGAATAGGACATGATCTCGCTGCAGGGCCCGGCGCGAGACATGCCTGTTCTGTTCCCAAAGGCCATCTGCTATGCTCCACTCGTCCGGTTCGGTGTTTGCACTTTCTATTTGACTTTTCCATTTGCGAGTGCATTCTTCCAAAATGCACTGTGCGCCGTGGTCAGGAATATACTTCGTTATGTCGGACTCGAACCGTGAAACAAAATGTGGCGACGTCAGGTCGAGAAGTTCCTCAAAACAATGCACGTGATAGTAGTCTATAAAAAAACCCCTAATTCAGAAGAAGAACCGTAGTCCGAAGGGATTCAGTCTTACCTGGATTTCCGTATGCATTACGACCCGGGGAAACCGCAATCCTGTAATCACCGGGAAGGATACGATCGGTACAAGAGATCCCCTTGCAGGCTGCTCCATTACGCGAGTCAGGTGCATTCTGTAGCTGGAAGATGGGATAGTGAGTCAATTGAGCCTCCCCAGAAAAGCCAAACGAAAACTGCGGCTTCAGATGGCGCATGAGATTGCGTTTATCGGATTCAATGTCCTCTTGTCGTCTTTCCTCCGGAGAAAGTGCCTGCCGGCGTGCGTGCTCTGCTGCGTACCGCTCGCTTTCCATCCTGGAAGACTCTTTGATGTCTTCCTCGGTAATTGAAGCTGCACTTCGACCCAGCTGCCGAGCGATATTCTCTATGCGTGTACGCCTTCTGCGTTCCCTTTGGCGCCGTTCCCGATCCTCGCGCCTCTGTTTAGCTCTCGCATCGATCCGATCTGCCATGGTCAATGGCCTGGTGTATAAGCTCACAGGAACCAGTACTGAAGAATAGAACTGTATTGACACTGTTCCGCGTCTGGATTGTGAAATAATGAGACAGAATTTAGATTCCCTGTATCAAGGCATTAGCAGGTACGTGTACCGGAGGAGATGATTTGTCACACCAGAAGCCTCCTGTCAATGCTCTGGTGTTCCAACTTATTTGAAACAATATCTTTACAGTTTCAGAGAGTTGGGGGGTCTAAGTGTACTGCAAACAGATATATACAAAGAAGTGGAGTAAGTTCTTCCACTGATAGAGGCGGGGTGTTAATTTATCAGTTTCAGCAATTCGCGCTGCGGAACTGCGCCTCAATGCCTACGCTTACACTTGACGCCAGTAAGGGCCAAAGTGCCATGACTGCGCCAGATAGACAAGAAACATCAAGTTGATTGGAAGTATGCTCAGCAGACTGCGCCTATTAATGGATAGCCCACCTCAACATAACGGCTCGCCGAGGGCCGAGCCGCACTGCACAGCCTTGCTATGTACTAGCCTATAAGACTCGACGATATGCTCAAGGTACTCTAGTTATCTTGACTATACTCTTGTAAGGATTAGATTTCCTTCCAGTCTGACTGCCTAAAACGAGCTTTGACTGCATCACTCAACCTCCAACGGAGAACGCGCAGGAAAGACGCTCATCGAACTTAAGCTAGCGTCTTGAATCCTGATGCACTTCCTCAGGTCATCTGTCGCGTGATCATCATTGACTTTAAACTTACTGTAGACTGTTACCATTAGGGAGTTATATTGAGCCACAGTCACAGACCAACATATCATCTATAAAATGGGATGTTTATTACACCGCCAAAGGAACAGTTTCACACTTTTAGTAATATCAGCAAGAGCGCGGTGGGGGTCAAAGCCTTAATGAAGGTACAACCTATGAAGTAAGTATGAGGTATGCTGTGTGCAGCAAAGCTAAAACACGAAACAAATATTTTCACCATGGTCATGATAATAAAGAATATTTATGTATCAGGTCAAGCTATACACATATGTATACATTATACATAAAATGTATCGTTTTTCTCTGAGAAGGGCTTTCTTGGCATTACCGTCCTTTTCCAACCTTCAGCCCCATGCGAAAATCAAAAAGATAGCTCAACTATTTTCTACTAACACCCTTTGGTATTGCCTTAGGATAATACATGGAAAAGGTAAAGGAATTTGACTAGCTCTATTTCAAGCAATTCTGCCTATCAACCCTGCTAAGTCTCCCCATAGCTAATAACAGTTGATGTGAAAACATGTAACATTTTCTTACCAGTGTCTGCAGTACTCACCTCCCTTTTGAATTAATGGGCAAAAATATCAGGGCATCCATTAGGCAAACCCTCCGACCTCTTCATATGAGTGATGCCCTTAAGATGGACATACTCCTGCGTCACATCCTTGCTTGAAGTCTCTCCGGTGACGTTGAAATAGTTGATTCCAAACCCGTTGTCATCGAAGAACCTGGCCGTGCCTGCAACCACGTAAATGGTGAACGACTTGTCGGAAGCATAAATGTTTTTGGTCTCATGACGATGGCCAACAAGGATATGATGCACGTTATACTGCTTGATCAGACTGAGGTACCTGCCACGCACGCGGTTGGGAAAGGTCCAGTATGCGTCAGCCTCATCCTCAGTGACTTCAAATGGGAGATGATGATGCGCGACAATGATCTCTTCCTTTGCATGATGAGCTGCTTCGAGTTGATTCTCAAACCAAGCCCACTCTGCAGCGGTGTAGCTCTCAAACTGAGTGAGATTGCTGATCAAGGTGACTGAGTCTAGGAGGATGAACCGATATCCCTGGTGACTGAAGGAGCTGTGGTCGCTGACATTGTAGTCCCGGGAGAATTGCTCGAGGGTCGTAACATTGTTAATATCGTGATTTCCGGGAAGAAGATGGACGGGCTTCTTGAATTGGGGGAATGTATTCTGGAAAGCCTGGATCTGGTAGTCGTGTCTGCAAGTTGCTTTAGCCTAGATTCTGGGAAGGCCATCTCACTGCTATGCATCTGGAAGGGCAGACAACTGACCTGTCATGGGTCAAATCACCCACGGCAATGCAAAAGTCGAAATCCTCCGTGTTGACTTGTTGGGCAGCCAAACCCATACGGTAAGTATCATTTTGCCATCCATCAAGGCCGAAACCGATCTGGAGATCGCCGAGCTGGCAGAAACGGAAGGGCTTGTTGAAACCAGCAGATACTTTTCATAAATCAGCTTTGTACAGAGGAAGGAAGTGAATTGTGTAGATGATGTTGATACACACCAGAAGATGCACAAAGCGCAAGACAGCCAAGGAGGCCGACAACTGATCTTCGCATTTTGAGTCAGCAATTGGACGTTCTGTATCGAGTTTATCCCTGATAAAAGAAAGAACTACCGATGAAAGTCGACCGTTACGACTCTACTTATACATTGGGAGAGGTAGTGCAGTCCTGCGAATAGCAATGCTCGCCTACGGTGCGTGATCTTATTTCCCGGATATCCCCCAATAATTTCCAGGAACATTTTCTCAGTCTACCTACAGGTATACAGTGGCGTACCAACCGGTTGGCTCTGGCAGTGCACGTGGAGAGGACGGACCGGCAATTCACATCAGTATGTGGATCTTGGGGGATTTTGGAGTATGTAAAAGACTCCTTGATGGGGCCGTGCTGAACTCTATTTGGGCGAACAGACCACAGCTTGTCCTGAAAACCCTGACTGTCATTTATGCTTTCCATTTTGCCATTTAGGCTCATAACAAGCTTTACGCCAGACATTTGGTTTATGTCAAAAGGCTATTGATTCGCCGGCAGTTAGAACCAAACTCGGGACACTCTCCCCCACGACATTCCAGGCCATATCATCTACGTACCAAACTACATAGACAACCGAATTGAGGATGCAGCACTGTAGTGAGCAATCATACCTTGCAGCAAGCATAGTTGAAAGTTCCCAGTCCAAGCAGCTGACCATGCGCATACAGGCATGACTATCCCGTCTCCCTACCAGATTTTGCCTGAGCTGCAATGCCCGCTACTCAACCATCACATCAGACACAGCAACCACACTTTCCTTTAGACACTCTCCTAACGGATAGTGCGCGTTCAGGACGAATTCTCCAATAGAGTGACTATAACCTAGTAGCTACCTTACCAGCAACTGAATTAGACCGGTCAATGGGTTAAAATGAGGATGTTCGTCTTTTGCACAATCCCTCAAAAGTAATATTTGATTGCTGTGGAGTGACAATCAATCGGGTATACGTGTCTCTCAAATGATAACAACGCAAACAACGCAACCTAAAGGAATAGGAACAATCCAGCAAGTACTTCATCTCAAACCCATCAAACTAAATAGCACTATCGTGAGACAGCGGCAGCACTACATCGCTTGGTAATCCCCCGTCGCTGGGAGGGTTTGTAATTCCACAACTCCGATAAACGACATGCCATCCGACTTTCTAATAGTAGAAGGAGAGTTCTGAGGAACCACACAGGGACACTTCACCACACCCAGCTTTGAAATAAAACCTAACAGGTTCAGCTGATGCAGACCCTGATATTTTTAGATGCATGGATATTGCTAAGCCTGACGTGTAATTTTTTTTAAGGGTGCTATTGATTCCCTACCGGATGTAGAAATCTTGCATTCTTTCTGAGATTTTAGCTTAGTTAATCCCTATTACTTAACTTTGTGGGGTGTCAGTCCTCTAAAGTCTGATTACTCAAGCATGAACTTACTGACCTACCTACTATATACTTGCTCTCTTCCTAAAGTAGACTGGAGAGGCACCTGGACCATCTGCTCTAGTCGGCAAGGCAGTTAGCGAAGAATACGATGAAAACAAGCCTATTAGCACCGATGACTGCGAGATGCTAACACTACTTGGTTATGGTGAAGAAGCCTCACGAATGACAATTCTTAGGAAATAGCAGGGAAAAGGGACGACTTAGGATGATAAGTAACTTACTACAACACGCAAGTGTTTATCATCTCTGAAGAATGATGATTATTCTGTAAAGGAGCGGGTTCAGGTGATGGACTGTACGATTGAGGAAGAGCAAAAAGATGGGGCAAAAGATTGTCTCATTCAGGCTGGTATTACGAGATAAAATAAGGTGGGAAAACATAAAATACCAATGTTCTGCAGCGTGTTACTGTAAATAGTCTTCTTGGTAGTGATTTTTCGACATTAGAATAACAGGTATTATGTCAAACAAATCCTGCACGCCAAAATACTAGGAGAGCTACTACTGGACGGAATCATCATGATATGATAAATAAAAGTATGTTAAATAATCATGTACTCAGCAAGTGACAAGTATTTGAGTTGAGCCTTTAGACTTGTCATGATCCCTCTACAAACATGTAACTTGTTTTGCGAGTAACAGAACCTTAGTATGAACTGCAATGAGATGGGTTGCAGATCTATGCTCTGCATAGCTCAAGCTGTGAGACAACCTCTTTGTAAAATGCTATAGAACCGTCCTGATTGTTCCTTCCCGGCAAGCTGTAAAAGTTCGCCTGGAGACAGCGAAACGCAACTCTGGCATACACCTCACCCATATTAAAAGTAACATTCTGCGGTATTAACGTGTCGGTCATATGTTTGTGAAAGGTTTTGGCGTTAAGGGCATGGCTGCTTCTTTCTCTTTGAAAGTCGTCAGCAATCCGTTTAGCCGACTTGTAAACGCCCATTTCAACCAAAGTGACACCAAGACTGTATATGTCATGATCCTTAGTGAAGCGACCTGTCTTTCCGATGTAAGATTCTTCGTCTGTGGTGTCTAAACCTTGGGCGTCCGGGTGTCGGTAGAGATTATCCTCGACCGTAGTAGCGTGATTTTCAGTCCCTTCATCATTTGAGGCGAGGCGACTGTATTCGAAGCCGACGAGGTATGGGCGCCCAAGTTGACTGGCGTTGGTCTCCTTTGATTTAGAGATAGGTTGGCCTGAGGGTACAAACATGATACTGCTACTCCGGATACCCTTATGAAGCCATTCGGCAGCGTGTAGGTATAAGAGTGCTCTAGAAAGTGTCCTGGCAATTTCAAAGCGTTTGTTTAATGGCCGCACCTCTTTGTATTTGTCGGCTTTCTTTGATTCTGAGCTCAATATTTCCCTCAACGAAATAGCAGGTCCCGCATGGATAGTGTATAGAAATTCATATGTGCAATTCTCGTCGTTAATACTCAGAGGACATTCCCCAGGTTGCGTATAAATGTAGCCGATGCAAGGCAGTGTTCTTAACTCTTGGATTCTCTGCGAGGCTTGCAATAAGTGGACGACCTTCTCAATCCGCGGTCGAATAAGGTCGTTATTTGCCCTTCTGGGAACCGTCTTTTTCTCGATTAATACGGGACTTCCATTATAGTGCCCAGTGTAATGCCGATCAGAAGTGGAGCGACGGTCCCGTATTAGCATGTCATGAAGCCTCTGTGGGTTGTAGTCGGGAGATAATTTCAGGTCGTTTATATGACTTATCGTCGTAGCCTTGAGCCAGGCAAGCGACGCGGCGAAAGGGTCCATATCTGTCTGAGCACTCAGCCATCTTAGCTTCCAATCACCCTGTTCCGTCATCAAGGCAGGGTTGACTAGCACTGCTCCAGAAATGTCGGAGCTAGGGCCGGGTGGAGGGAAGAAGCCTTCCAAGTCTCGTACGAGGTATTCCAGAAGCTCCAGGCGCTGCATAGCAGACCCATTTTGTAAGGCCCACTTAAGACGGTCCGTGAAATTGGAGATATTCTCGTGAGTTGGCTCTGTAGATGATCCAGAATACTCCTTCCACGGGGTGCTCAATAGCTTAGAGAATCTTTCAGACGCGCTAGATGCCTGGGCCGAACGCGTGTTTTTGAATATCGGAATGCTATCTTGTTGAGAGGTCAAATGCCGCACGTTATGAAGAATGAGTTCCAAATAGTTAGCGATTGCGTTCCCATACATCTGGAAACGAGCATCTGGGATTCCATTTGACGGGCTTTCATCGTGTATGATCTTCCACCGGCATGACCACCAGTGCAATCGTGACAGATGAAATTGTAGACGGGCGGTAAATTGATTGGCTAGCTCATCCGCGTGCTCGACCCTGTCTAAGAAGTTAGATACAGCAAGACAGCCCTGGATCAGGTTGCCCAGAAGTCCTGTTGAGGCGGCAAATGTGTTGTAGTGTGACTCCATATTAACAAAGGAGCAGGTAATCACTATTTATGGGATATATATCGTTTCTTAGGATAGAATATGAAGGGAGAAGAGAGCAGCTGAAGGATTAAGAGGGAAAACAACTTTAGCAGAAGAGGAGGGGGGGATACCTTGGACATTTGATGGTTACAAAATTGCGGCGCAGTCAAGGTGCCTGGCGAGGCGCACTTGCTGGCACAATTTTATTAGCCAAATATTACGGAGTATAAATAGAAAAAGACACCGATGTCTCTTTAAATTAAGGAAATAGCCGCGAGGACCACAAAAAGATCTTCAAAATTTCCAAATTTGTTTTTCGCCATGAGTTATACTGAAACCACTATCCGAAGCTATCTTGGATCCTCACTTCAAGGCCCCAACTTCTCCAACCAAACCAATACCGAGAACGATAAACATGTTGCTGAAGAAGAAGCGGACGGAATCCTATACGACTTCATTTCGTTTCTGGCACTTGTTTCCCGCTCAACCTCTTATACAGACTGGACATCGATTGGGATGAACTTGGTCCACATCTCCACAAGCAACATCGCCCTGGCAGAGAGAAAGAGATACGGTTCTAGTTTTTCAATCTCTCTGGTTGATAGGAAAGATCTTTCTGCAATGCTACCGCATGACATGGCCCATTTGAACCTCCCTCGGCTGTTAGCAGTGAAGACGCCTATCCTCAATTCGCCGTTGGGAGCACGGAGAAATCGGCACATCTTTGACTCCATGACGAGAGAATATGAAATTTTGAATCATAAATCCCTCAAGAAACACGAAAACATTGTCCGATTAATTGGTTGCTGCTGGAGAACCGTTGACATGGAGTCCGACCTCACAGTTCCCAATCTTGTGCTTGAGGGTGCTGACCTTGGCGACCTCGAGGACTTTTACCAGCGCCATGGGGGGACCATTACCATGCGCAAGCGGCTTGGACTCTGCATCGATGTTGCTACGGGAGTGGAGGCCCTTCATCTTGCTGGCATCCTGCACGGGGATATCAAGCCCCGAAATATCCTGGTCTTTAAAAATCAAGACCGAGGCTTTATTGCCAAGATAGCCGATTTCGGCTCGTCTATCCCATTATACCAATCCACATTTCCCCGAAAGGCATGTCCTGGAACAAGGCTGTTTGCTGCACCAGAACTGGTTAATAGCTCAGGAGACCATAGCAGAGACGAGCTTTTGAAGGCAGAGATCTATACCCTAGGGCTTGTCTTCGTGCTCTTGGTCAGGGGGCTCCATACGCTAGATAAGCTGCGTTCAGCGAGGTCAGAGGATGTTGCAAGCCTTAAAGAAGCAGGAGAATTAGCCGATTGGATATTGCAGGAAGACGAATATCGCCTGTTTGATCCCATGGCGAGACCTACATTCGGGAAGCAGGCAAGTGAGCGAGAGCGTCAGCGCGGCATTTGGCGTTGGTTGGAAACTCAGGAATATAACAGAGCTCATGCCCTGTGGGCACGGGGGAAAGTTCCCAGCTTTGAAAATGTTTTTGTTGACAAGGACTGGATTACGTTGGCCAATGCACGGCTGAAGAGTGAAAAATCTGAGACGCTGTTTTCAGGTCTTGTTAATCGCATCATGTCGGCGCAGCCGAGCAGGCGACCAGTCGATGTACATCATGTCCTCCAAGACCTGAGGCAGATTTTGACACTGGAACTACGTGCTCTATACGACCCGAATCACCCACACCAGATGCTATATGAAAAACAACTCGCATCAAGTCGAAGGCGGCTCAACCCGGGGGGTTTGCATGAGGGCGTTAACATATCTTACTTAAATCTTCAGGAAATCGACTCTATCATTCTGAACCACGTCCTGTCATACGGGAGGCCACGCTTTGTTCGCGACTTTTACTTCATATGGCGATTTGGGGGTATCGCCAAGTTTCCAAAGCAACATCGCCCTCCTACTCGCTCTCGGTGGTTGGGGTTACGACACCAAACTCAAAAAAGGTATGTTCAGGGCTTCTACTATCTGTGCAGACCTCCTAAAATTACATCCAGAGCCCAGCGTTACATGGCTCGGCAAAAATATGAGGTCAAGGGTTATATAAAACTAGTCGTAAAAAAATGGAGGTACGTATGAGACCTAGTCCTCACCTTGCGCATCCATATTAAGAGGCGTAGCCGGGATCACCAGAAATTCAAAGAGCAAAAATGGGCAGACACGGGTGAAGTTTTCCAGGTCAGTTTAAGTCCCACCTTCGTTGTGCGCATTTGTAGCCTTGAAAAATAATACTAGCTACAATGCTCCACATAGGCGACCCTAGACGAAAGATATACCTCACTCTTGCCAGAAAGTGTTCGAAATGAAGTTATCCGGCAACTTCAATACATTGCTGATTCTCCCGGAGAAATTCAAAGCCGTCGTCTTCTTGCTTGCTTTGAACATGCACTCATGACTCTGTGCTACGATGATGCCTCCAGAACCGACCCAGAGCTGATCCCAACAGCTCTTAACTACATGTTACATGCTGCAGCTTCGGGGCATCAGCCGGCTCAGAGTCTCGTCGGTAGATTATTTGGTGTATTTGGCCATGAACTGCCCATTGGTCGCGATACGGAGACTAAATGGCTATTCCAGGCCTCTCTACGAGGCAGCCTCACTGCTATGAAGCGACTCCAGATGCTGAATCCCGCTGTACATCAGCAAGCAGACCGCTTAATCCGATTTAAACACAATGGCTCTTTTGTTGAGGGTGAGGTATGGAAGGACACAGAATATTTGCTCTTTTTAATCTCAGCTGGCCTGGCAGATGTCCCGCCAGGCTTCGTACATAATCTGGCGGCACACGGCCAGCTGGAGAGTCTTCGAAGACTCTCCCATCTCCCCCACCAAACTTTCAACACCCAAAATGGCCTGGGCGAGACACCGCTAGTTGCTGCATGTCGCTGCGGCCATGCGAATATTGTACAGCTCCTCCTCACGCTCGGTGCAGACCCATCAATTGGAACATTTGGCAATGTTCATCCGTTACACTTTCTCAGCGCTTTTCCCGACGAGGATATACCTCAGATCTCAGATCTTCTTCTACGGCATGGTGCGGAATTGGAAATTTATTCTCAGAGGGGAAGCGTTTACAAACAAGGAATTGATGGCCGATTCGGTGTAGACGAAGGGACGCCTCTTCTATGGTCAGTCATAACAGGCAACGTTGTTGCCATCCAAGAGTTGCTAAGACATGGCGCCAATATCTTCTCGTACATACATCTGCATGAATGGGAGATGACCAGTGAGGTGGTCATCCACTGTTCTCCGCTCGAAAGTGCAATCGCCATGTACAGGTATAATATCGTCAACCTTTTGCTGTCGTCCTGCACAAACAGGGAGGAATTATTGCGCGGCTTAAACGATCTTCGACTAGTAGGCCAAAGGGTCAGAGCCACTCCATTACTGATGGCTTTGGAGAAGCAAACTGTCTCACGGCTGAGTCCCATGTTGCTCCATGGGCACCTTCGTCATCATGCTCAATTAAGAACGGTCGAGATGTTGCTTCACTATGGTTCAGATCCCCTTCGACTCAGTCAAGAGCAATCGGGTGAATCCACTCATGCAATCGAAGTTGTCTGTCAGGATGATAATCTTCTTCTTCTCGATTTTCTCTGGAACTACGATGGGACCAGACTGCGACCACCCCCAAGACTGTACTTCAAATGCGTTTTGTTGGCCATACAAAGATCGAAGCGGACTATATTCGATTTTCTATTGTCACATCAGCACGACATTGCTCAGGTCACCGAAACTCGCAAATTGAAACTGGAACTGTTAGAAAAAACATGCAGTTTGTCTACTGATACACACTACGTATCTTCTGTCGTCGATTCAATCGTTCATGGATTGCCATTAGCTCCTTCTGCAGCCACAATCAAACCTGATTTTACCCAGCCGCTGTTGATTGCTCTTATGGCAGGAAATACTGAAGCTTCCAGATTACTCTGCCAGTATGGCCATTGCAACCTCACTAAGGGGCCAGATAACCTCTCGATGCTGGCGAGTGTGATTGTACTTGATGCAACGTCCCCTATCGTCAAGGATAGAGTCGATCATCTGCTGCACTTGGTTTCCTCATTCTTTCCTCCGGCATTAAAGAGGAAATTATTTTGGAAGTGCGCATCTTACAATGCTCATGGACGGCGTGGCCAACTCACAGCCTTTCAGTTCGTCTTCGCACGCCGAGAAATCGCGCATGATACGACTATTATTCCTGCGACAGCGAATTCAGAAATTTGGCGCAACCTCCTCCGGGCTTTCAACGAACCGGATTTCCTCAATGCTCAGGTTGATCCCCGGTCTCCTGATTTCCCCGGTGACACCGCCCTGCACATGGCCGCACGAGCAGGCTGCATGAAGGAGATCAGCGATATGCTTGCCGGTCAGTACGGAGGCTCTTTTGAACTCAGCCTTGTCAACAGGCACAATGAGACTGTTCTGGACGTGTGCATAGCGCACCATGAGATCCTTGTCAATGAAGTCGAAGACCGACTTATGCATTTAGGTACACTGTCTACCGAGGGCGCATTGTTGAAGAAGATCAGGGACCTTCAAGCGACTGTTGGTACCCTGATTCAAAGAGGCTGTGGTATATCCACATTCTGTCTGTTGGCACTCAAAAAATCTGAAAAGATTTTTCTGATTGTGCGTCGGCCAAACATTTTAATGCATGTTCCTTATAAACCAGGCAAGGCGCCCCGTCCCTTTCTAACTTTCAAGTCACACTGTGGACGCGCTGCTAAGACTTCCGTGGATAGGGTACACATTTGGAAAGCATTGTTTATCTGCTAATGTTTGTGAGGATATTGCCCAGCTTCTCCGCTTGGAAGTTGGTAGTCTAATTCCGTTCGTCGACGTCCCATCAGACTATGGTAAAGTCTTGTCGGAGGAAATGGATGATTTTATCCAAAAGCTAGATTAATGACAGGGCTCTTCAAATATAATTACTTTCTTGCTCATCAGCATGATCTTGTTCTATTCTTTTTAAAATTCGTTTCTTGGACGAGCAGAATGCTCAACATCTTCCATCATCTGCATCAGAAGCGGGATCCATGGCGCCTGAAGTCTAGAGTCAAAGTGAAATGTTAGTCTTGCGCGATAGCTATTCTCAACCAGGAGAAAAATGTGTATAGACCAAAGAAACGAAGAAAACTCACGAAAAACGCGCGTTGATCGAAGAGTCTTTGCCCTGGTCATCACACGGAACGGTTGTACACTGCCGTCTCACCAGCTCAAACTCCGAATCATTTCGACACCGTGGTAGAGCAGGCAAGGGCTCATAGTCCCGCTCCCTCGGGTCGAAAATATCCTCGAATCTCTCTCCTGCATGATCCAGAATAAGATTGAGAGCCGCTTCGATACTTCCGCCACGACTGAAATAGAACGTATGCATTTGAGGCCATATTCGCTTTTTCTTATAAAGAGACAACAAATCATCCGACGCAGGGCATCCGCCTGCTTGCAGACACTCAATGATTGTGGTGATAAACTCTTTAAATCCCCGGCGCAGGACTCTGCTTTTCTTAAATAATGAACGAATATTTTCTGGGATATACTCGAGTAAATCCCCATTGACCATGCACCAAAGGCGGTTGTCACTCGTTTCCGTTGTTTTGAGTCTATAGAGAAGCTCCTCAGCAATATCCTGCAGGGTCTGCCTCATCCGATGGCTGAGAAAGCCTCTAAGGCAGAATCCACAGGTACAACCGAAACGGGTACAGGCCCAACAGGGCGAATTGTCCTGGGTCGGACATCCACGAAGGGCGAGCACACATCGGACTGCTTCTTCGGGAAATCCATCGAACTTATCGGCTTGGACTAAGAAGTGTTGTCCAAGATATTTACCCAGCCGTGTCACCTCGAGCTGGGCCTGCAATGCCTCCAGAGGAGTGTAACCTTCAATATTCCGACCCTCTTTGAGATTTGAATTGCTGAGGGTCATAGAGTCCAGGATCCACGCGACACACTCGGGCTTGGATTGGCAAGCGGCGATGTGGAGGATATTGTTTCTCAACCCGTCTCTCATTTCAAATAAATACCCTTGCGACCCATCACTCTCAAGATTGCGGTCCTTGAGCAATGCAAGACATTGCACATCGGAGAGGCTCTGCAGCGCTTGGTGGATGGGATACCGCTGAGCGTATTCACTTCGTTCCTGTCGGCGTCTTTCTTTTTCTTCATAGAATTCCTCTATGTGGTGATCGGAAGATCCTACCTCACCAAAGTCAAAATTTCCGTCAGCGCCGAGTGGGGGACCAACCATGACCGATCTAGTCTTCGGGACCTCTGGCCGTGAATCGTCCGAATCGTAGTCGCCGTCAAGGAACGATTCTGCTTCAAGCGGGTCCGGGTCTTCGTCGATGGAAATGTTTCGTGAGCGGTGGTTGGCGTCAATGGAAAAGGCAAACCAATGACTGATTCCAATGCGACGAAATCCCAATTTCCTAAAGAACCTGATGGCAATTGCCTTCTGGGCATCCGCCATGTCAAAGCGCTCCCGTTTCGTCTTCCCCTTCCGTTCTTCAAGATCTTCACCCCTGTGCAAGCAGGTGGGATATGCAAACACGAATCGAACATCATCATCCATACCGACTGCCTTTTGGATCATATCCATCACTAACCGCCGTCCAATGCCCCGTCGACGAGCCTTCCTGAGAACGGTCACTGTCTCGATGATGAGGAAATTTCCCTCACTGAGTTCGGTTTGCCAAATTCCGAGGCCCCTTCGGACCGGGTGATGCAAATACTCCTCTTTCAGACGACCGTGTCGATCAAAGACATCGAGAGCAAGATTCATCGTGTCAGTGGACGGATGTTCCATTTGCTCGAGGAAGGATGGGACGATCCGATCCCGTTGAACTATATAACCAGATGCGGTGCCGACTTTCCTTTCACGGTTCTTTCTGCTTAGGAGCGCATGCCCTTGGATTGGGAGTAACCAGCTCTTAAATGGCTCGTATTCTAACGTCCCCTCCGTATGGACACTCCTCACTTTGACTTTGGTAGTCGACGTCATTTCGGGAGCAGCAAGGGTTTTCTTCCTAATTGTGATGTTAATAGGCGAACGATGAAAATAGGTGGTGATGAGGGAACCCAAGGATACATCTTAAGATCGCTTGCGCTGTCTTTAAGTATTCACGGCGTGTTCAGCCACAAGGCGGAAATTGCCTTATTGGAAATCCCAGCCAATTACATCGAGCCCTTGGGGGCTGAGTTCTATCCCTGTGTTGGTGTGTAACCAAATCATTCCGTCTGAAATGCAACCAGAGTGATCACAGCACAACCCAAGTGAATATATCTCTCACAGGCCATTCTCAGTTCCCGTGTATGTACATTCAAACCTACTGTATCCAAAATTATAATTCAGAATCTGGTTCAAATAACACACACTCTGTAAGTCGTTAATGACTGGTGGCCCCCCGGGCAGTGCTATTCTTAAATGGGTTTCATGGCTCATGTTATCTTCGCTGCCTAGCAATCCTTTATTTAAAGTAATGTATCAACAACCTACTTGAGGCATTGGCGCCCAAGCCTCTGTTGGTGTAATCAACAGAGGTTTTGTGTCACTAGCCACCAGGAAACTAAGTATGTCAAGGAAATTAAAAAGAATTTTTTTGCCTGTCTAGAAAAGTATCAGATTGTGGTGCTAAAAAAAAAAAAAAAATTGAATCTCAAAATAATGTGAAAAGTCTTATTCCCTTTGATCAACATCCGACGCCCATTACACCCGCCAGCTCCACAGCAACTACCTGGCGCCCATGACGGCCAGCTCCACCGTGCTAGGCGCCTTTGACGCCGGATCCGCCCTCGAATTCCCCGCATGTCCTAAGGCTGATATGTATTGGCGACTATTCTTGTCAGCGCAACATCAACTTGCAATTTTTCTGCCGCCAGTCCGGTATCTTCAGCCTCTGCGATAAGAAGCTGCGTGGCTCGTAGGGGCGGTTGTATACAAGAGGTCTGTGCGGTGTTACGAGAACCGGTCCATTGATTGATTGATTGATTGATTCACCGAGCCCAGAATGAATTGTTATGGGCAGAGAGAACTGCCCAGTGGAATTCTGGTGTCTGCATCATGTAAAATATCTAACGCTATTACTGCACGTTTATGTTCAAGCGGGACAGCCACTGGCCACTTTTTCAGGAAGACCTAGTCAATGTCTGCCGTGAACACATGGAAGACAGATCTTACCGACTTAACAGCCCTTCAGTGTTTAAAACCGAGTACTACAACCTTTTAAGAACTCTCTGCAAGGTAAAAGAGACACTGAGCAGCACATGTAGATCAAGCCAGGAGTCTGACCAGGTCTTCGGTTCGCCAAATGTGGTGAAAGGACCGAGTGCTGTAATTGCGGGAAGCACCCCAGTTTTGACGATCTTGAGCATAATGCTTTTTATTCAGGCATTTACAATGAACTTTTAATGTTGGTGCCCTGCGTGATGGCCCGAAAGAAACTAGCCCGGCACATTCAAATGTCTGTTCTGGCTGCGGTACTATGCATGAGGGAACCTTTCAGTTATTTTACTTCAATAGGCAATTGATAGGAGGAAAGCAGGATCCAGCATAAGGTGAAAGATAATGGCGATCTATCCTAGAACTCTAAACAAATAGCAACTTGCCTTAATTGCGCGGAAGTGAATAGTTTCGAGCGAAAAAGCGACAGAACATATACAAAAGGGGCACAACATAGACGGTAGTGACCATGATAGGAAAAGCTTTTCCGCTATCTGATAGGCAATGAAGTGTACCATACGCCGTTGTCTCATTCGGTTCCGTCGCGTCTCCTAACCAAACGTGGCCGTCAATATGACGTGCCATATTACTGGACCGGGAATTTGGTATGTATACATCAGAGGCTGGCGTTGTTCTGTTTCCGAGAGGGTGATAGCCAGTGGGAGAAACATCGTAGGCAATGAATAGGTAGCTGTAACCGAGGACAAAGCCAAGCAAGAACTGGATGATCTGCACAGTTGTCAGGGTGCGCTTTATCTGGACAGAAACTGGCACAGCAGCTGCTGCTAAAGCGAAGTAGGTGTACTTAAATACAAGACTTGTTAGCGGTTAATGAAGATAAGCGGCTTCTGGATGAGGACCTTACCATTAGAGTGTGGACAAAGGAGTTTAGAAAGATGCCAACTAAAACAGCTGGGGACTTGTATCTGAGGGCGACCCATCCACATATCATTACACCGGCATGATGATAGGTCTGTAAAGTAGAGCTCTTCTTTCCCCTCAAGAGGATAATCATGGTATCAACTACCTCATAGAACTTTGAAAGATAGAAGATCCATCCGACGTAGGCTAGGCCTTGGTCCCAAAGATTACCATTATGCATTGGAACTAGGACGTCATGCATTTAGCTTCTGGTAACCATAATATCAGTCCAGGAACATCTCACCTTGTGTTCCGCTAGATACATCCGTTTGGCACAGTGCACGTGCGGCATTGGCCAAAAAGTTTGGGTCTTCCCAGGTCGGCCATGAACTTCCCAGCGCCTGGCAAATACTGTAAAATGCCCAACCGGAGAATAACGCTAGTAGAGAGTTGTGCATGATGACCAGAGTCTTGAAGAAGCGAGTTTTGCTGAAATTCCATGGTTTGTTCAGGCGTCTGCCGTTTACTCCGTTCACGAAAATAACGGCGGCAATATACATGGCCGCTACAGTGAAAGGAAACCTGATATCGAGAGTGAAATAGTATACATCAGGGTTGATTTTGAAAGGCTCGCGTAGAGTTGAAAGTTTATGATAAGGGGGAAGAGTTGAGCTCCGAGGATAGCGAGGAGGAAAGGAGAAGACCTCAAGGGGGGGTAGTTCAAGATGAACAGAAAGGCTTTGAGAAAACATAGTAACGGTGAAATGCCTAAGAGAATCAACTAAGCAATGCACATGTATATAATTTATATTAGCGATATCTGCAGTCTTATTTCGTTCAGAGACGAGCTGTGTCTCTACACATAAGTAGGCTCGCTAAACGATCCCGTAGCTATTCTCCTGGATGTGTCTGGTGGGATGAAGATATTACTGTTAGAATCCGGCCTGCGGGCGTAGCATTATGGCTGAAAATTGACGCATTCAGATACTATAGCACCATACTATACGACGGGATACCATCGCTGCAATGTGAGTAACCACCGCATCCCGATGACTCCTATCATGCAGGGCGGATTGGAGCATGTCCTTCATGAGACTATCTCAGAAACAGCTGAAAGGGGATGTAAAATGGTTACAAGCCGCAAGCAGAAGGCCACAGCCTCAGCACAGCTCTATTGGAATCTTTGTGACTTGCCTGCACGCATGCGGTTTTTGGATCTCGCAAAAAACCTGCATTGTAGCATTGTAGCATTAATCAGTCCGTCCGCAATTGGAGAAACACCTGTAACTCATCTAGGTGCTTTCAGAAAGATTCTATCCCCTATCGGTTGACTGTCCCATTAGTTTACCGCAAGCTGGTTATAAGTGTTGCAATATGCGAAACCTCAATAGGTCAGCTCTGGTAACCTTCCGTCTATTCAAAGGCTGCCGGCTTCTGTTCTTCATTAACGTCGGACTCACACCCAACGTACAGCAATAATGATGATGCCCAAGAAACTTACCAACCGACGGTGCATTCGAGGCTCAATGACAAGCCCCGTCAATGCAAAGGAGACCTCCCAGGAAGGAGGCTCTCGGCCAACTTCCGGAGAACAGAGATACAAAGGGCGGTTGGGCATCGCTTTACCACCTCTAAATTGGCCCCTCTTTACCTTCATCGTCATAGTCCCTATGGTTGCAATTTTTGGTGGAATTCTTTGGGTACCCATCTACAAGACAACCGTCCTCTTCGGTTTCGTGTATGGTTATCTCAGAGGCATTTGCATCACTGCCGGTGGGTAAAAGCACCGAAAGATCTGAATCTGGCATCGGGAGGGGAGCTGACAGAAGAAGGGTATCATCGATATTGGGCGCACAGGTCATACACGGCCAGCCAGCCACTGCAATTGTTTCTGGCCCTTGTGGGAGTCGGCGCTGGCCAAGGATCAATAAGCCAATGGTGTCGGCAGCACCGTGCACACCACCGCTATGTGGACACGAGCCAGGACCCTTACAATGTGCAACGGGGATTTTTCCACGCGCACATTGGGTGGATCATTTTCAAGGACAACTCGAATTTGCACAACCGTGTGGATATTACCGACCTCAAGGCCGACCCCATCGTTTATTGGCAGCGCCGATACTATTGGCAGTTGACAATCCTCATGGCCTATATTGTTCCCACGGTGATAGCAGGGCTTATCTGGGGAGACTGGCTGGGTGGCTTCGTGATTGCGGGCTGTGTAGGGACCGGGGGGGTTCAGCAAATTTCATTTTGCATCAATTCGTTCGCACATTGCTATGGAACACAGCCGTTCCAGGGAGTAAAATCTCCTCGGGATAATTTCATCACCGCATTCGTGACGTTGGGGGAGGGCTACCACAACTTCCATCATGAATTCCCCGTGGATTACCGGAACGGTGTCCGGTGGTGTGACTATGACCCCACGAAGTGGACCATTTGGTTCTGGAGCCGCATTGGACTGGCATCCAATTTGAGGCGGTCCCCTGACAGTGAGATTGAGAAGAGACGTCTGCAACGGTGTCGGGAGATACTGGATCAGGCGTTGGACAACGTTGACTGCGGCACAATGGTCAAAGACCTACCTGATATATCATGGGAGGCGTACCAGCAACAAGCCCGCACAGGGTGCAATCTCGTCGTCATCAATGGCATCGTCCATGACGTATCCAACTTTATAACAGATCATCCTGGAGGAGAGGAGTTGCTTACAGCAGTGATTGGAGATGATGCGACACAACTATTCGAAGGTGGTGCGTACAAGCATTCGAATGCTGCCCATAACCTGCTGTCCACTTTGAGAATAGCTAGGGTCAGTACACAACCGGAGTCAAAGCAGTTGATATGAGCAAAATGCTGCGATGACCATTTATTGGTGGGCTATAATCAACCCAGGCATTTTGAAAGCTGCTTGTTTCTATCACTATAAATATAAGTATCCACGATCAATTCCTCAAGCAACAAAACCCACTTAGATACGATATTTGTTACCTACTCCTCGATTCAGGGGATTGGCAGGCCTTACCAAGCGGTTTTATAGGTAGAGCTCCGAACGACCAAGTCCTATTGTAGTTTATCTGGCCGTCCAAGGGTTGATCGCAATGTATGTTCGGACGCTCGTTGACTTGGCTCCAACACCGTTCATATAAGGACTAAGTAGCAGACCCTGGAGATTCTAATCCCCTTTTCCAGAAACCAGAGCCACATCTGGCGGTACAGACTCAAGATAGTCGTCGACATCAGTGCGATGTGCCCGATTATCCCCTGTGGCAAAAATGTTAGATAGTAATTCATTTTTCGGTTTGATATTGACTATTCGCTTACATGGTTCCAAACTGTACCCTTTGGTAAAGAAGCTCGCTAGAAGACCCAGCGCTGAGAAACCGCATAGGACAAGCCACAAAATCCTCAGGGCTTCTGCATATGCATAGATGATCTTATGCTTGCGGGGGTCTTCCTGTGGTATTGCGTTCACCACCCCAATTAGCGGTGCTGCATCGAGGCCGTGTCCTCGTGTTAAGGAAAGAATGCTCGGCTCGGCAGGCAGATTTCTGTCAAACATGTTGTGGAAAACCGTTCCGCCCACGGCGAGACCAACCGCCTGTCCTAACGTGCGGAAAAATGCGAAGAACCCAAGCGCGGATGAAAGCTCATTCACAGAGATCTTTGCCTGTATTGCCAGATTCGTGCTAGTGAAAAGGGATCCCATACCCACCCCGACTGTAAGATTGATAATAACCCAGCGGTATGTGGGACAATCCACGTCCAGAAGATATAGTAGACCAAGACCCGTGGTGGTTACAAGCCACCCAGCCCAGAGGGCCCATCGGTAGCGTCCACTGGTTGTGATCAACAGGCCTGCCGCGCCTGCGGTGGCACTGATCGTGCACGTCTCAGGCAGGATAGCAACGCCTGACATAAGTGGGGACAAGCCCTTGACTCCTTGGTAATAAAGGGGAAGATAGTACAGGAGGGACCAGACCTTAAGTCGAAGTGAGTTAGCTGTAGAAAATTCGCCTGCAAGTTATATAAGGTTAGGAACGTACCAGTACCCCATGGCAAAATGTTTGCAGGTAAATCAACTTCGGGTTCCATTCCCAAAAGATGCTCCGAAGCAAGAACGGCTCACGTGCAATCCATGTCTCGCACACCGTAAAGAGAGTGAGACCAAAAATCCCAAGCGATATTGGTACCAAAGTATGCCAACTGGACCAAGGGAACATCTCTCCACCCCATGTTATGGGGATCAAAAGACTCGCCAAAGAAGGGATAAAGATAGCAAATCCCGCCCAGTCCACACGAGACAGTGCCTGCCTGTAATCATTACGCTGTATGCGAGGACTTAAACAGATAGAGATTGCGACAAATGAAGCACTAGCCAACGGGAGATTGAGAGCAAAGAGCCATCTCCAAACCCCTGAATCGGAAAATATCGTGAGAAAATATTCTTAACAAGGTGGGTAAGACTTCGGGAAGGCTATACTTTCATGCGCAAGAGCACCACCGATTATAGGGCCGGTCAGAGAGCCTACAGCCCACATCATGCTCAGAAGACCGATCCATTTCCCGCGCTCTCTTAGCGGAACCAAGTCTGCAATAAGTATTTCGGACAGGGTGATTAGACCGCCCCCACCAGTCCCTTGGACAGCGCGGGCAGCAAGTAGTATGCTAAAGTTTCTAGCTGCCGTGGCAATCGCAGAGCCGGTTAAGAAGAAAAGAAACGCGGCCGCAAACTGGCCGAGTTAGAGATGGATATCGCAACTCAGTCAAGGCATCTTACTAAAGGCTGTCTCCCAAAGATGTGGGAAAATATGGCAAATGACGGCTGGAAAACGGCTGAGCACAGCACATATGCAGTGCCAGCCCAGAATGCTTCAATGTCTGTTCCGTCCAGTTCAGTCACAATGACTGGCAGTGCATTGCTTAAGGAGGTAACGCTCAAAGATGCGGTAAGCGAGGTCAATGCTAAAGCAAGGATAGTAAGGGAGAAGCGTTGAGTGTCTGATAAAGTGAACATAGCTATGGACGTGAATCTTAGGCACACAGGATATTCCAACTCATTGCTATTCTTCTTAGATACGATCCCGTATTCTGAGATGCATGCCACAACCATAAATACCACAAAGCAAATTTACAAGGGTGAGGGGATCGTACGATTAGACTCTATGGGCAGGGGTAGATCCCCGGTGTTAGACATTTGGGAGATGAATGAATAGATCGAGTTCGCTTGGGATGCTTTCGTACCCGTAGAAGCTCCACTCCGGGATAGGGTTTCCCTTGGAATCTTGGCTGGTTGCAGTGGATTGTGCCTGCCATTGATGGTTTGGTCCTCGAGATCCAGGAACCCAAGGGATGAAAGAATGTAGGCATGATTAAAAATACTACTACAGATCATGTTCAGAGGGATACACATGGTATAGGATCACCGCGTTCACCTTTTGCACTTGGTCTCCCATCAGAATATTTCTCCTTTTCTCCAGCCTTTTTTTTTTTTTTTTATTTTACCTTTTTCCTTCAACTCTTCTTCGTCCTTATCATTCGAGAGCAAAACATTGACGTTCCCAGGCTTCACTTGAACCGCACGTCTAAGGAGAAGCAAGTCTTTCATCATATTCATATTCAAAAATCTCGGACTGGGTGACGACATGTAGGCTTATGGCTGCTTTCAGCGCCGGCACCAAGAAATTGTATAACTGACCCTGCATGCGTGATCTTTTTAGTTATTTGCAATATGGCTATCTATAATGTTACCGAAACGCCATACTATAGGCTGTCCCCAAGTCTACAGGAGGAACGGAGTATCAACCTCACGGCAATCCGCAAGCATCCCTCTACATGGCTGAAAGCGAACCCTGTGGACATTAGTTAAGCAGGTGATGAATGCATAATCAGGAAGGTGTTTACAGGTTATTCATATATGTTACATATAATGCATATTCCAAATTAAGAAGTCTACAGAAGGATGTGTCATTTCGAACAGTCCAGGAAACAGTGTGTTCGAGCATTCTTACCGGCCGCATAATAAAGCATATATAGATGCTATCAGTACCGGTTAGCCATCAACAGCAAGCTACTATATTGATATAATGTCTTTTTGCATGTGCATTGTTCTTTTGGCACTACTTTATGTCAGTGACCTAGAATCCTTTATCTCTTTGTCAGTACCCTTACTAAGAGCAGCGGGTAACGTTTAGGTTCCTTTTCTGGTTGTGTACCGACTATACTTTCACCCTCTGGCAAAATATCCTGGCCCAATTCTAGCGGCCATTACTGACTGGTATGCTGCCTTCTACGTATGGCGAGGCGATGCACATACCATGCTATGGGAAGGCCATCAGAAATATGGTGGGCTTCCTGATGTTTGACTGCGCGCTCGCTTTCATCCCTAGCTAAGGAATAACGCAGGAAGCATCGCCAGGTTCGGGCCCAATTCGATATCTGCATGCTCTCCTAGCGCACTTTCCGAGGTCTATTCTACGAAATCAAACGTCCGCAAAGACAACGCATACGCCGTCATGAGTGCCAGCATCCACGCTCAGAACACCATGAGCTGTATCGACAAACAAGCTCATGCATTCAAGAGAAGAATTCTGTCTCAGATCTTCACAGAGCATGCCTTGAAGGGGGTAGAGGATCGCATCCTGGCTCATATCAGACGGTTTTGCGCTACACTGGGCCACTTCCCGTCTAAGGCACAAGATTCGAGCTCTGGCTGGGGACCAAGTATGGATCTCGCACCGCTCTGTGACTATCTTGCCTTCGATATTATCAGCGACCTATGCTACGGAGAAAGTCTTAACATGCTGGTTAGTGGCCGTTATCGCCACATTCCCCGAATTACCAAAATGCTAGGTCGTCGAAATGCAGTCGTGAGTTCTGCCCTACCAACTATGACTTTCCTCATCCTCCTACAACTAACATTATATTAGTGCTTTGCTCAGTCAATGTTGTGGCGATATAAGTTGGATCGTATATTCTTTGCTACCCTCATTGGTCCAATCAAGGATTTTGGGTCTTGGGTTAGACATCAGGCGAAGACTAGAAGTCGATTGGGTAATGACGTATCCCAAATTGATTGCTTTCATTACATGCTCAACGCAAAGGATCCCAAGACCGGTCAAGGCTTTACGGAGAGGGAACTGTGGACAGAATCGCTGCTTCTGCTTATTGCTGGTATGTCAACCTTTCTGGCCACTGCGTCGCTATATTTTAAAGACGTACTTTCTAAAACCTAACTGGTCGTGGCAGGCTCGGACACCATTGCTGTCACGTTAAGTGCGACTCTTTTCCATCTCGCACATAACCAGCATGTACTTGACCGAGCTACTCAAGAAATTCGTTCGTCATTCGAGGAAGTGGACGATATCTGCCTAGGAGCCCAGCTGAAGGGATGCATTTATCTTCGAGCATGTATATCCGAGGCCATGCGTCTTTCACCCCCGTTCGCAACCATGAACCCTCGGCGTGTGCTGAAGGGTGGAATGATCGTGGATGGACATTATATTCCAGAGGGTACTATAATTGGTTGTCCGATCTATACTCTCCACCATAACGAAGAAAGTTATCCACGCCCATTTAGATACGATCCAGAACGCTGGTTGGAAAATGAAGGTGAAGGTTCCCGTCCGTCGAAAAAGAATGCACTCAGAATGGCCCAGGCAGCATTCTGTCCCTTCAGTATAGGACCGAGATCGTGTCTTGCTCAGAACTTGGCCTGGGCTGAGGTCACCATGACACTGGCCCGGATTTTGTTCTTGTACGATATCCGACTGCCACCTGATCATCACAACAGTGAATCCGAATGTTGCGCCTCTACTCAGAGGGATAGAAGTCCAGAGTACAAGATAAGAGCATGGCTATCGGCAGATCGACATGGTCCGTTCCTCCAATTCCGTCCCAAAGCCGTCTGACTCCCCATGAGTGGGGGCATGAAAACCTCCAGTATAACTTATTACGTGGGCGCGTTATACAGAGCACTGTGTTCTTCATGAGCCGGGGATGCATTCCACGGGGAGCGCCTGTCTAGTTATGGAGATGGTCGTATTGGCAGTCCAATTCCTATCATGGCGGATAAGTTTCCGACGGCATCCTTCCACGCTGACGAACCTAGTATATGCTGAAGGAACTCTATTTCATCCACGTAATCATCCAGAGAATTTTCAGTCAATAGTTGTTGCATGCTCATGACTATTATTTCATCTGATTTAGCTATACTTAGGCATGCATTACATTGTGCTTTGCTGAACATGCTTCCTGTCTATAATCTCCCTATACTCCTTAATATAGTTATTAAAGCTCTTCTCTGTAAGCTTCCACTACTAATAAAGTAATTAATCATAGTAGTAGTGTAAGGGATTAAGCTATATAGGCGCCATCCGGGTGATCAGTCCCAGTAGGGACTGGTCATAATGGCCTTTTTGGTCTAGTTGGCAGTAGGTTGGACCGGACACCTTCTATTACATTATCTCTGTAGATCTTATAAATTAAGGTGCTTAACACAGAATGAGAAACACTTTCTAGGCTAGTTAACGAAGTTGTGGCAGAGATCTAAACTTCTTATGTATATCCCATACTTGGACCTCATATTGCTCTTACTCATCTCCTATCTTAATTAGTGATTGTAGGCTTCTATAAATTCCAAACCATAATAGCATACTGTCAGCCATCAAGCCACTACGTCAAAAAAGTGTCTAGACTACTATTTCTAGAATAGTAGAAATGATAGGCTTATCCTGGTTGAAACATACAGAACATGCAATAATTTCGGAGTATTTTCCTCTGGACATAGCCACAAGCTCTATACATATATCATGAGCTGCAATATAACTATAGCCTTGCCGCCTGGCCAGCATCATAGGAAAATAGGAGCCTCAACCTATGTTACAATTGACTATCAGTCAGATCGTGTCAAACCAGGTCAACAGGGGGACGCCAGACGTTATAGCTCAGTTAATCCCTGTTACTTAGGTATGTGGGGCGTTGGTCCTCTACTCCATAAAGGTCCAATTACTCAAGCATGAACTTACTATACTACCTACTATATATATATACTCTCTTCCTAAAGCAGCTAGTGCAACTGTAAGGCTTAAAGGTATAGACTGTATGGCTAACCATTGGCTTGAGAATACATACTCCTGAAATCCTCTTGGTATCTTTCTGACTCCAGAGCCACAGGAGCTGGTCAGATTTGCTCTACCTTTATTACCAAGTTGAAATACCCCCACCAATGACTGCATGTGTACTCAAGAAGAAGAAAGGCCTGAACATCTTATCTATCACTAGTCTGTTTAGTGTTTGTGCACTAGTATTATATGTATATATGTAATGTAGCTCTCTGCAATTAATATGCGTGCATAACTACCATGACACCTCTATGATAAGTACAGGCCCATTAGAGTATAGTGAACATTGAAAACTCCTTTACAGAAAAATAGGATAAGTAATTACAGCTATTCTTATTGCTAGTGCAGCTAATAAGGCTGAATATATAGAGAAGATCACTATCTCCTAGTAGCCTCTCTACCTTATCTGTTGCTAAAGAGCTTTATAAATTAATGATGCAAGTATTAATAGAGCTAGTCCTACTTAGATATAGGGGAAGAGATCTACTGGAATAGAGTGCCTTAAGAGTGAGAGAATCCTGTAGGTCCTCTTATACTGAATTATAAATTCCAGCAACATCCTCCTTGCAGTCTTTCCAGGACTCGTAATACAACTGCAGATTCTGACATACTTGGTCCATTCACACTTCACAACAATTGTCCTACATGATTTTGTTCTTACACATTTTCAGCACATACGACCGTAGGGTGTGGAAAACAGGGCTTCCCGTGCGCTCAGCCGTACTTAAGCTAGTATTATCAACGCGGTCAGAAGTTATATGCGCCCTTGAAGGCCTGCTGCTTTACGGGTGAGAGACACTAAACCATAGGGTGAGTGCGGGTGAGTAAAGGTGAGCTGAGTGATGCTATCTAATAGCACGGGTGAGCATGGGTGATTAGTAGGTAAGAGAGCAGGCGACTGGCCCAACGACCCATATGCGGCGAAATCTAGTCACTTGACGCCTCAAAACCAGATCTGACAAGGGCTGATGGTAGGCAGCGACCAAAGAGAAGGAGGAAGAGGCAAGACGTCAGCGATTTGTTTGTAGGCGATATTAATGTTTGTCTCTAACAAATATGAGCAAGGAGGTAGGCGGGAAAATATCCAACAGCTTGGGCTATGGAATAGTTAGGAACATCATTCGCGCTCTTAACGGTCATCCCTTGGCGTAGTCCACGATCAACTCAAGAGTATAGCGCTAGAGAAGTGAAGGAACAGGTCCAAGCAAGAAACGTCAGCTTGTGCATGTTTAAGCCCAAGCCGGCGCCCGGTTGGGTTTGACTTCACCCAAACCGGCCTAACTCTGGCAACCTTTATCCTTGCGGTAATGGCAACTGACACGGTGAGCGTTGCAATTTTTATTGTCCTTGCTTGGAACAGTAGCTGGCTGAGCCAACATACACGCCGGTTCGATAACATGCCAGCCGAAATGCTACAGCCCTTGCGTACCCCTGGTGTCTGCCCTTGCCTGACGATTATAACAGTGTACACCCGCATAACTAAGGTAATCGGACTTCGCCCAAGGAAAGATCTTCCCCGCTACTAGTGAGTGGGGGAGTTCTCTCTATTTCTACTCCACGACATCTGCGTCGGCGGAAATACTCTTGAATCCATGTTATCTACCTGCAACAGCTGAACTAGTCTACCATTTGCTCAAAATGACCGTCACAACTCCCCTCATCACTGTCTTTGGCTCGACTGGTAATCAAGGCGGTGCCGTCGCTCGATCCCTGCTCCAGAACCCATCTTTCAAAGTTCGAGCTCTGACTCGTGATCCCAACTCGTCAGCAAGCCGTGCGTTGGCGGAACGAGGAGCAGAGGTACATCAGGCGGATGGCTTTAGCAGTGAATCCATGTTGAAAGCATTTGCTGGATCATGGGGCGCTTTTGTAAATATCAACTCCGATGACAAGGTAAGTTGAATGGATGCTCAAAAAGTAGACTTGTGTAGACTAATCACTTGCAGGCCTTTAAACTGAATGGACTGAGCGAGTTCGACATGGGAAAGACGATTGTGGACTCTGCGGCACAGGCCGGAGTCCGCCATTTCATCTTTAGCACCGGTCCCGACTGCCTCACGCTTACTGGGGGCAAGGTCAAGATGAATGCGGCAGACAGTAAGTCACTTCACACTCCAACAGCCGTGCCAGCACTAACTTCAAGCAGTGAAGTATAAGATCGAACAATACGCCAGGAACATTAGCTGCTTTGAGACTGTCAGCTTCATCTGTGCTTCCTGGTTCTTCGAAAACTTTCTGGCCGAAGAGATTGCCCCTGTTTTCGGCGGGTTCCCGTTCATCCCGGATGCTGAGGGATACCTCACGCTGGTCGCTCCTAAATGGGGCGGAAAGGAGGACGTCCCTTTCATTAGCATTTCCGACGACTTCGGCGACATTGTCCAGGGTATGTTCCTTGATCCTATAGCGGTGAACGGCCAGGTTATTCACGGCTGCAGCGACATCTGCAGCTTTGAGGATCTGGTGTCTACATTTGAGAAGACCAGCGGACGTAAATCTCGCTTCAGGCCGCTGCCGTCGTGGGAGGCGTTCAATACGTTCGGGATTCCGGAGTTGGATGATACGAAGGCGATGTTCGGCTTTACGCAGAACAACCAGGGACGGTACTTCGGCCCTGAACCATCTGAGAAGGACACGCCTGGTAAACTTAAGCTCAAGACCGCTGTGGCATTGGGACGGCTCGGGGACGAACAACAGTTGATGACTGTTGAGCGGTGGTTCCAAAAGCACTTTCCATTCCAATAGTCTCTATTCTACCGCCGCTAACAGTATCCACCGAGAGAATATGTCCAATTCAAGTAGATGGTTTTCTTGTCAGAACCTCAGATCTGGAAAGCCTGCCGAAAAAGAATATGATTTTATTGCTTTGCTCGAGATGAATACTTGTTCCTCTAGATGGTATGTTTAGTTTAGTATGAGGGAGAGTTGACGGTTTCTGGGGTTCGGCGAAAAACAAGCTGTCAGGGACAGCCTCAGCTTGGATTCTCATATTGAAGCCTCTCTAAGCATAATACAGAAGAGAGCACTGTACAGGTACTGCAGAGAACCCTAAGGCCGGGGGGATGGAAGTTCATCTCGCTCCTTCGCACGTACTCGTTCCGAAATGGCTTGCACTGTATGTACGGTGAATGGCATTCCAGATTTCGTGTTACGACAGATTTCATCATAGACTACTAATGGCGAGTAGTACAAGCGTAACGCCTCCAACGTCATATTGTGGAAATGGCGCCGTGCATGACTCACTGCCGGCTGCTGTGGGCATTCTTCTGACTTACAGTATGACGCCAAATATGGCCTCACTAGCCCGAGAGCAAGATTTGTCAAGATTGTACAGGGGGCATGCAAACAGTTGGACCAAAGAAATCCGCTTGCAAGCGAGGAGGGGACCGCTGTAACAGCCATGTAGTGATGCACAACAAGCCCTTGTGTCAATATACCTTGTTCATATTAGCTCAGAGGATTGCGCGGCACCACTAGTGCATCAAGGTGGCAATGCTGCTTTGTCCTCAAGGGATAGCCTCACTGCAGATATCTGACTATGTTGTGACCGTCTTTGGTGGCATCAAGCAAAGCATGGGACACTGTTATCTGCCTCTAGGTGTGCCGCAGCTACTTCGTATTTCCGGTTTCCACTACGCAGCAGACGCCCTAGCATCGGTTAAATTTCTGGATCACAGATCACGGAGATATCAGAGTTGCTCCCGACCGAGCGGTGGAGTTCGAATTGCTCCCTTGCATGAAGTGGGGGGGCGTATGCACCATAGTGTCCAGCAACCACCCCTCCCCAAAAC